TAGCATTTGCTCAAATATATGTTTGATTTATGCATAAGATATGTTTTAGTTTGAACTCTGAGGCATTCTGTCTAATAATGTCTATTAAATCCAAGAAAAGGGAGCAAAGCTATTTTGTTCCTCTGCTGTATTCTTTATTTCTTCAGTCAATGAGATTTGTATTTGGTTGTTAAAAAACATTAGAGAAATGAAAAATATAAAGGAATTGACAAAAATCAAGTCTTTGCAAAGTAGGGATTGAAGTCCATGCATCATCTTCATTTGTCTTACTTTGCTATTAACGAATGCATGGATAATCCATGTTCTAAACTTTGATGTATATTTTAAGTTGGTCCATTGGGTAATACAGAAAGGGTGGTAAAATAGTTATTGCTTTGGGAAAATGGGACTTCTTTCTGAAAGTCAATAATATAGTTGTCGAAGGTGCTATCATTTTAGGGGTTTAGTGATCCTATTTGGTTGTACATCTGGCTGTCCAGACCATGCATACCTTTAATTTGAAAATTTTCACACACCTATATTGCAGGTTGGAAAAGTAGTAAGGCATTTAAATGTTGGGAAAAGGAAGGAAGATTTCTGGTAGGGGAGAGACAGTGGCAGCAAATTATGCTTTTGGCCCACTTGAAGATGATGTGATTATTAAACACAGGCTTCTCACTCGCACAACAACAACAAGAGGTGAACCCCCATTGAAGAAACTTCAGAAGAAGTTTACCTCATTTATAATTGAGGTCGAGAAGGATGATGATAACTATAATGACTGTGCAAAACTTTCTAAAGCATTCTTACAAGAGTTGGCCACTTTTGAGATTCCACTCCTCAAGAGTAAAGCCGTTATTGATGCAAACATTAGAGAGAAGGAGAACTTCAATGATTTGAAAGATGAAATAAATAGGCAGATATTGCAGGCTCAGGCTGATATAGAAGATCTAAAGAAACAGCTTGAGGAGAGTAAGATTGAGAGGCAACACAAGGAGGAGTGTGAGGCTATTAGAAAACTGATTGCTTTGCAGCCACCAAGATCAGAGACACAGAAGACAATAACAGAGCTGGAGAAAGAGATTGCAGCATTAGAGGCAGAGAATACAGCTGGTTCAAGGTTGCTGGAGCTTCGCAAGAAGCAGTTTGCTCTTTTGTTGCATGTGGTATGTCACCAAGTTGCTAGTTGTTTGCATGGTTGCCCTATAATTTACCTTTTAAATAGGATTGAATTTGGCTTTCTCCCCTTTGCATCAAATTTTTGGCTAGGTAATATATCTTTATTTTATATATTTATTTGGATGATTTTATTAAAAACTTGGATTGGTGGTTCTGCTTTTTGCCATCTTGGGTCATTGAAAATTTACATTCACAATTGCCTGGTTCACATCATGCATTTACCAATTGTTATATTTGTGTACTTAGCCGGCATCAATGCACAAGCTTTGAAAATACCTTTGTCTCTTTGAAGCATTTTGATTGTTGGATGGATCTGTTCCTGTCCACATAGGCATGGTAGTCTCCGTATTAAAGACTCTGAAACTAAATCAAAGACCTTTATTGTGATGATTCTTTTTAAAATATGAAGCTTTGCGCTTGGTTTGAGTGATTTTGCAGTTTTAACTATAGCTGAGTCTTTAAGAGATTCTTATCCATGAATGCCTGTAATATTGAGTTATTAGAAACAGTAGGTATTTAAGTATTTTTCCAACCATTTGTGTAGACAACATATAATTGAAATTCTACTAATGATGGAATCTGCAGATGCTAGGTGATTTAAAATTCTGTTAAGAATCATATAGGTACAGGTCTCAGTGTTTCCTTATTTTATGCCACTGCAGGTTGATGAGCTGCAAAATACCATAGAGGAGGAGCAAAAGAATTTGATCGAGGAGATGAGAATGGCAACTGAAGAGCAAAAGAGCGGTATGGAGGATGCCAGTGGGGGTTCAGAAGCCATGGCTGTTGATTAGTTCTATCTATCCATCTAACTTCTGCAGTAATTTGTAATGTTGTGTAGCTACTAAAATCTACGGTGAGAATCGCACATTTATTTTGAAGTTGAACATCAGGAATTTTTGCCTTTTTGTTTGCTTTTGTCTGTTAACAAAAAGTTTGAATCACTAGTTGACAATTAGAGTGAGATCTTTCAGAACATTCTATAATGCTTGACAGAGACAATGGTGCTTTGATAATCAAGATTTGATAATTTTGATTTGTCCTTGATCAATGTGATTCAATCCTTGTATTTGTTAATCAAGAATTGATTTTTAGGATAAACTATGTGGATGTAATTCCTCACTATTATCTTTGTCCTATCACCCATGACTTGTTTACAATGCTATTAAGCGTTTTGTATGTGTATTTGTTTGGTTAAATTTTGATTTGTAAAGTTAAATTTTGATTTGTAAAAATGAAAAACGGGTTCAACCTGTGGGCCAACTTGTAATCTGTAAGGGTTGAGTTAGGGTTAGTAGTCAGTACTTCATATGACGCAATCCTCAAAACTTGTTATCCGAATTGACCTAACTCTTACCCGACTCACCCATTTCACCTCTATTTACAGCTGATTTATTTTTTGCCAATACTTTCAAACTTCTAGCATGTTTGATCTGTCTGAATATTTATAACTACGTTCAGGAGGTAAACTGAATTGTAAAGTGAGAGTATGATGCTATTTATAAGAAACTAAAAAGGTTGCGGCACCATCCAATAGTGCGCAACGGCAATAAAAGTCAAAGTTGATCATGTTAGGAGCAACATGACGTAAAGGTGTTGATTTTGCATGTGCAAAGTGTCTCAACCAACACTGTTTCACATTGGATATTAATAAGTTGCCCTTCAGTATTTTTTCACTATCATTTATTAACAATGTTTGGTTACAACATTTATGGGGATAGATATGAAGCATCAAAGAAACTGGCCACACGTCTGCCTACAATTAAGTTCAATACGAAACCGGGTCCCAGAGAAATCTGGAAAGATGCAAAACAAAATGCAGAAGAAACCCAGGATCCTCTGCCTCCATGGATTCAGAACAAGCGCTGAAATCCTCAAGCATGTAATCGGAAAAACATGGCCTGAAGCTGTACTCGAAAAGCTCGATCTTCATTTTCTTGATTCGCCATTTCCTGCCCGAGCAAGGTCGGACGTTGAAAGCATATTTGGTCCACCTTATTTTGAGTGGTTTCAGTTTAATGTGGTTGGTCTTAATGATAATCAGATTGAGCTAATATTACTCTAAACTTTCATTTGACATAGACTTCCTCACGCTTTTATTTTTCCATTTTCTTTCTGATAATCCCAAATACAGGCTACTTTGGAGTATTCTAGTTCGCATTTTGAAAAAGAGTATTGCACATATAGAAGATTATATGACGAAACACGGTCCATTTGATGGTTTGCTAGGCTTGCCTCATGTTAAATTCGTATTGTTACGAATTTATATTGTATATGAATTTAAAATCTCTAACTTAATTATTCATTTTTTTTTTTGAAAACTATGAGTTTCAGGGTGCAATAGTGACCGCCCTATTACCGGACGTGCAAGCGAAGGTCCGCCAAACTACTTTTTGTCCATCTCTTTAATTTTCTCCAAAATATTCAGCACTTATTATTTTTAATGAGTTCATAGAAATGAATGTTTATTCTAATTTCTAAATTCAGGGTATTGCACTTACAAAAGTACCACAAATAAAGTTCTTGACACTGATATGATCAGAAGCCAAGTTTTGAAGAGATAAAATTCGGGCATCATAAACTGGCATCGAGTGAATCTCCTGTTGGGTGCCTACCCCTCCACTTTATAGGTAAATTTGAGGACTCGTGACATTATTGCTTCCTCTAAGAATTTCATTCTGAAGAATGGAAAGTAATGTTCCTGTAGGTGAGAAGTGTTTTTTAAAGGAAAAAGGGATTTTTCTTCTGAAATCAATTGTGGATCCTGTTGTCATTCATCACCCCGGCAGCCACACTATACCAAAGCTCGGTTAGTTTCAATTAATCTTCTTGAATTGTACCCATTTTAGTTTGTTGGTATTTTACAATTCAATACTGTAATTCATATCGTAAAATTCTTCTTTATATTTTAGGGGCATCATCTCTCACACTTTTTTTTTTTTTTTTTTTTCTGGTTTGCTTTTTGGATCAGATGAGAAAAGCTTGAAGACGACACTTGCATTCATTGGAAGATACAGAAGATATTGTCTCATGATTTATGGATGAAAATGAAAATGGAGTCTGGTTTATAGTTTATAGATTACACGTTCAACATGGTGTCATGCGTGAGAAAATGTTCATACATGTATTATTATTTGGGGTTAATTGAGAAAAATTAAAATGTTTTGAGAATTGAAATAATAGAAATGATTAAGAAAAAAATTAAAATACTCTTAATAAATTAACACATAATAAATATTTATTAAAAGCATTTAAATAATTTTATAAAAAATTGAAAATTCGAATTTTCACATTGTAAATTTTTTTTATAATAAATTGCATGAAAGAACATAATTGCAGTATTAGTGTATTATTAGTTTTAATTAATTGATAACATTAATTAATAAAATAAACACTAAACACGCAACTACAAACAAACGGCTACCCCGTGATCATTGATCCCTTTAACTAGTAAAAAATTTGCCCAAGCTGATTTGCACAAGCTAGTTTGCCTTTGATTATTAAAAGATGCACATTTTTTTTTATTAGATTAAACTTTTATCAATTTTTTTTTGACAATTCAATAATTATTTAATGAGTTCAGCGGATCCTCAAACCTAGTACGTATAAAATCCCATATATGACCACACTCCAAAACAAAAGAACCCAAACCATCCAAACAAAACCTACCTGTCAACACCAACATTTTAGACGCAAGTAATCTCCCATATCCATTCTCAAAACCAAAACAATTTGGCATTGTGACAAGGGAATTTCTAATTCTAATACAAAGCCGTTGGTGTTAAGAGTACATTTATTATAATTTATTTATATTTAAAAATTAAAAAAATTATGATTTTATTAATTATTTAATTAAAAATAAATATATAACATTAGTGGTGATAATAAAGTTAATTTTTATGATGTTATATGAAAATTAAATTAAAAAAAGTACAATTAATATGCTCTGAATGAGCAGAATAAACAAACTCTTGTAACAATTAGCAAAACCACCGGTCACCGGACATGGAAAGCCACACGTCAACTTTTATATCAGATTTCTTTTTTTTTTTTTTTTTTTGCCACATTTCAAATATAGGCTGAGTCGACATTCCTGATTTGCCATGCAAGGAATGTACAATGTAGAAGCTAGCCATCTTTGAATCTTTCACCACGAAGAATGGAATCACAATCGCCATCATAGAAAGCTACTATCAGTTACGTACCCTTCAGATCTGATTTGCTTTGATACTTTTTTTTTTTGTCAGAATGGTTTTCCTTGTCTAACCATTTCCTTGCTAAACACGTTCAGCATAAAAAATCTATCACAAATCATATCTGCGATAAATCCGAAATTTCTTCTTTTTGAATGTGCTTTAGAATTTTCTCATTCCCCCATTTTTTTTTTTTAAGATTACAATGCTCTCATTCTTCCTTTTATATAACCCCAATAATCATATTAGACAAATTTTAAAGGTAAGTTTGGTGTGCAGTTTTTTTTTTAAAAAAAAAAAACGTGAGAAGCCACACAAAGTGATTTGATTAATTTGGTTTAGGAAATTATTTTTTTTTTATTTACAAATCTAAGGCACAATATGGTTCATTATAAAAGGTATATATTTGTAATATTGCCATATTTTAGGCAAATTTTTTTTGCTGAATTTTTTTATTGAAATTTTATAAAATGTATCCAATATGATTTAATTTCAAATTAATTGAAATTTAACATAATTCTTGAATACAAATTTTATTAAAAGATAAGCAAATATATCAAATATAATAACTTATTTCTCCTTATTAATTATATTTCAAATTATATTTTAAATTTAAACGGTATTTTAAATCTAGTGATTTATTACTAACCTTTAATACTTAATTTTAGTTGGATAAGAATTCAATTACAGCCAATTACTTAAAAATTTTCCCTTTCCTACAACTTGCCATGTTAAAAAAAAAATTATATTCCAAATTTACTCGATTACCTTCTTTTATAATCAATAATATCGTACTTTGATTTGCCGGGCAAAAAAGGGTCTGCCAAGCTAAAACTACGCCTTCCTTTGTGCGTTTTTCCATATTCTATTTTCAGGAAAACTGGGCACTAAAACGTGGCCTAAAAAAATTATATAATTTAATTATGATATATTTGATTGGATAGAAATAAAAATGAATAGAGAGGTAAAATTTTTAATTAATTAAATTATACTATTTGTAAATATTATAATTTAATTAATAAAGTATATAATCTCTTTCTTTCTCTCATTTTTCTTCAAATTAAAAATATTATAAAAAAATTAAGAAAATATCAATGTAATTTAAGAAAAAAAAAATTAAAATTAAAAAAGAAAAAGAAAAAGAAAAAATTAATGAAGGTAGGAATAAAACCCCACCACTCAAAATTAGAGGTTGTGGTGGGTGGAAAACGGTTTCAGAAGATCAAACCCCACCGGTCAAAATCGTCCATTTCCTTCGCATTGGCGCTCGAAAGGAAGTCACTCACATACACATACTACACCATCGCCGCTGTCCTTGGTGAACCCATCTCCTCTCTCTCCAATTCAATTTTCTTTTCTTCTTTTTTTTCCATTTCCATTTCAAATTCTAAAGAATTGACAGGTGCAAATCCAAATCGCTCTCACTGGCTGCTACACCTCCCCACATTTCGCCGAACCTCCACGCGCCACTTTCCTCGCGGCCGCTCCCCCGAGCTTTTTTAGAACAACATGGAAGTGTCCAAGCCGGAGACGGAGCACAAGAAAACCAACGCGACGCAATCGCAGGTCCAGGAACCGACGCGAAAACCAGACGCCAAGGACTCGGATCCCGCTCTCATTGGTGACGACTTCGTGATCGTACCAACGGAAGAGCCTGAGAAACTGGCTGAGGCTCAGAATCAAGATCGGAGTGAGGGGGATGTCCAGACTCAGGGAGACGAAACAACAAACCGGATGCTGTCCAGTTCGAGGAAATCGGTTCGTTGGAGCCCCGAATTGGTGAGCGAATCACCATCTTCGGATCACAACAACGTTTCCGCTCCTAACCGGCCCAATCCCTACGTTACTCGCTCTCCTGCTCCCGCACCATCTTCAACCTCCTTCAAAGGCAATCCTTCCATCTGCATCTGAGTTTATTGGCAACTTTTGTGAAATTTTAATTCTTAGAATTGTTCTTTTGATATTTGGAAACAGAAAAGATGGAAGTTATGAAGGGTGTGCTGGGGAGATGGGGGAGGAAGGTCGGAGAAGCCACGAGGAAGGCGGAGGATCTCGCCGGGAACACATGGCAGCACTGTGAGTTTCTGTCTCTGCAATTTGTCGTTTCTTTCCAGTGTCTTTTCCCTTTTTTGTTTGTTCTCTGTTTCGATTATTTTTGCTTGTTTATTTGCTCTTTTCTGTTGAATGCATGGACTCTGATTTGAGGTGTTGTCTTTTCATGCTGCTGATGGCTTGTCAATGAAAAATTTGTGGTTATTGTGCCCGGTTTAATCGATGTTTGATAATTCTACCGGATTAGATTGGATAGAAGCGCTAGATAAATAATTCATTTCTTATTGATCTGTGCTGAAATAGAAATTATTTTGGAGGTTTTTATGCTATAACAGTGATTAATGTTCATTGTAGTAAAATTGTAGCTCTGAATAAATTAAAGGAGTTGAGACTGGAACATAATTTAGACATGGATGTCTCATGATCCTTTTGTAGGGAAGAAAAATGTTTGGTTGATTTTGAAGATAGTTGGCATGTTTTAAAAATGATTTTAAGAATTTTGCTAAGCCAGTTGTTTGATGAATTTCTTACTATTCTTCCACACAAAACTATTATATATTTCTAAAAGCATCTAATGTTATTATTTCATAAAGGGGAAGCTTAATTATCACTGAAGAGATCTTAATTTTTTATTCTTGTAAAGATCATAGGTTTCTAAGAATAAGGCAATGAAAAAAATTAATTCTTGGAGCTGCAGCAAACCCTAAATTAATTTTAGAATAACTTGATGTTTCAGGGTGGGGGCAATAAGTGTATATTGATTCTACTAAGGATATAAAACAAAAACATTATATTATCTTATTTGGGCCTATGTTTCCAAACGTAAGTTATACCATTGCTTTGATAATTGAATGCATTTGTGACATCATCAGCTGAATATATTCTATATGTTGATTGGCTTAGACATGTCATGGAGACTCACTTGGTGGATGATCTCTCTATAAATACACCCTTAGTTATTCATTCAAAGATCTTTGCTTCATTCTTCTCTTACATTTATTCTCTTCAATTTCTCTTGGTAAAGATTAGTATTCTCTGAATTGCTTTCACTAGCTTTGATGTCAACTTACATACTTAAAGGTTTCTATGTGTACTTAAGACCTCATATCATATCACATCACATGCACTTTTCTATCTAAGCACTCCATGAGCTTCATGTGTGTTATCCCAATCACTAATTATCCGTCACCTATCTTAGCGCTTAAAAGTTTTGTCAGAACAACCATTTCTGACTCACTAGGCCTTTGCTAATTCCTTCTAGGAAACATATTCTCTCCCCAACAACACTTTACATGACCACAAAAAAAATCATCTTCTAGATTTACCACTTTCTTGATCCATCTTATTTGACCTTCTTTGACCTCCTAGTGTGGCAGTTTGTTGAGCACTAACAAGTAACAATTATTGTTTCTGATTGTATAGGACAAACCATTCCAATCCCCAACACTGAATGTCTGGAGAGAGAATTAAAACTATAATTATATCAGTGAAAATTGTGCAAAATTATTTTTTAAAAAATTTTGTTCCATCTTCTTTGTTTAGGAAGTTGCATGTAGATAATATTTATAATATCCTTGTTTAATTTAGTGAAAACAAGTCCTAGTCTTGCTGAGGCTGCCATGGGAAGAATTGCACAAGGGACAAAAGTTCTTGCAGAAGGTGGCTATGAGAACATTTTCCGGCAAACTTTTGAAACAGCTCCTGATGAGAAACTTCAAAATTCATATGCATGTTACTTATCCACATCAGCTGGTCCAGTCATGGGAGTTTTATATGTTTCTACGGCAAAGCTTGCTTATTGCAGTGACTCTCCTCTACCATATAAAAATGGCAGCCAGACTGAATGGAGCTACTACAAGGTATGTATTTTTCAGTCTTATACATGCATGCATTTCTAGTGGTTATTTATTGAGAATCTAGATCTTATTTACTCTTACTCCATATAATTGAATAAATTATACAACTCATTTTATGCAATAAGGTAGTTGAATTGATTTATACTGGTCATTATCTAGAGTGAGCCATAGACGTGTATCGAATCTATTGATATTTCTTGATCCATAGTATCATTCATAAGACTAAGCAGCATGCTTGATTTTTGAAATGAAGTTTCTTAGGATGCTAAGGGAAAAACTCTTTAGCTGAGAATTTGAAATTATGTTTCACCTTATATAGCTTTCTTTGACTGCATTATACCTGACCGACTTATTTCTATAATCTGCATGGCATCAATTGCAAGCCTTATGATAACATTTTTCTTTCCCATACCTTTTTCTTGGGGGATTTTTTTGATTGTTCCAAGTTCCGACCCTACTAACTTATGCTGTAGGTCAAGTCCTTCTGCTGTTAGCATAATTTTTATATTATGCTCGTCTGTAAATAAAATTTAAATTGATTCTGGGCTTCCCTTGTGATTATTTAGTGTGGCGTCTTTGTTGCTTTCCATCTAGAAAGTGTTTTAAGTTGGATATGTTTTATATTATTACTAATACTATATGCACCCATAACTCCAGTTTTGGTAGCAGGGTTTTGATTTCTAAAAGTTAATGTATTACTAATCTTCAATCATAGATAGATTATTGGACAAGAACGGGTTTGCTGGGGATAAAGACAGAATTTCGCATCTTTAAAGATGAGAAACGGGTTGGATGAACAGATGGTAAATCTACTTAGTAAGGAAAGAAAATTTGCTAATTCTTAGGCGCGTGCAATACATGAAAAACTGTAGAAGTGGATAAAGATTTGAAAGATTATGAATGAAGTAATTGTTTTGAAACTTGTTATTCTTGTAAATTTGACATTTGACCATGCACATGCATGTCTATCCGGAGAGAGCCTTTTTAAAATTGATTTCCCCTTCCCATCCTTTCTAATATTTCGCTTATTGTCAGGACTCTGCTATGATGTGTATTCACATTCTTTTTCTCTGCTTAAATAGGTTCTCATCCCATTACATCAACTTAAAGTAGTTAACCCCTCATCGAGCAGAGCTAATCCTGCCGAAAAGTACATCCAAGTTATTTCCGTTGATAGTCTTGAATTTTGGTTCATGGGCTTCTTAAACTACGAGGGTGCTGTTAATTACCTACAGGAAGCTTTGCGAGCACATAGCTTAGAATCTGTGTGATATATATCTGTCTTTGGCTTTAGCCTTAACTCTATTCTGCTGTATGAAATTCATGCAATTAAATTTAAAAGTGTAAACTCTTTGCTCCCTAGAGGTGGATGGAAATGCAGGTGTCTTCAGAAACTTTTGTATTTTTTTGGCATTGAAATTAGGAATTGTAGAGTTTGTATCTTGATCCGGTGAGACAGTTGGAAAGAAAGTAGAAACGTATTCAATCATTTTGAGCTCATACCAATTTAATTTGACATAGCGTCAGACCCCCTCAAAATATTTGAAAATTTATTAATATGGTCCACAAATTTTATTATTCTATGTTCATAAAAAAATTTAGTATTTTATATTTAAAATTTGAATTTATTTTATATAATAATTCATTTTCTAGTCGCTGTTTCATTTGCCCCTATGAAATAATTGGCAAGTAAATCCTCATACATGATTTCAAATTTTCAATCAACAAAATAAACCCCTATAGAACTTTGGTGGCAAATCCACGAACCCAAGAGTGGATGAAGAAGTTGGCCTGACCTAAAACGTGGGACCCTTGTAAGAAGATTATATTTTGCAGTTTGAATTATATATCAAATTATCAAACATAAACTATTAGAGGAGGAAGAGCTTTTAATATGAGGTTCACTCTTCATCTAATAGTTTTAATTGTATAGTTTAATATAGTTCAAACTTTTTGATCTTGTAATAAGAATGCATATTCAAAATTGTTTTGGGCAAATTGAATTGTGTTAAACCATACAAAATTAACTTTTAGATTGGGGAGAAGGTCTTTTAACATGGGACTTCTTTTTTGTTTACATATTCTTTTTCTACAATTTGATACAATCTGAACAATAAAAATGAAATTCATATATATTTTTAAAGGATTTGTTTATCCTATATCCTAATGAGCAATTATTATGCAATAATTGTGGCTTTTTTTTTTCTTGAAAAATATAAAATTTTAAATTAAAAAGAGAAATTATGATTTTTAGTTCAAAAAGCATAATAAAAAACCAACAGGTAGCATATATAATTAAAATAAAGATTTATTTAATTTGTGTCATAAGGATAAAGATTAAGAGTGTATTAATTGTAATTTTTTTATATTTAATTTCTATATAAAATCACAAAAGTTGAGCTTGTTTTTATTACCAATGTCACGTGTATACTTTTTAATTTAACAGTTAATAAAATTAAACTTATGTTTTAATTTTTAGTACAGATTAATTACAAAAAGTACAATAAATGCATTACTAACATGTCCTTTAAGGGCACAAGGCACAAATTAGAAATTCCCTTAAAACAAAAGTCAACTTTATTTGTTAAAGATGTTGAGGGCAAGAGGGGGGTTGGGGAACGCCAATATGGAGAATGGTTAAGGGTGAATCTAGAGGAAAGGAGGTATGAGGTGACAACGTATGAGAATAGGTAGAGAAGGGATGCTATGAGAGGTTTTGGGGATCAAACTTTGCTGAAAGATTATGGGAGGCAACGACTACTTGGGTGAATGGAAGGAGAGTTTTATGAGGGCAAGAGGGGGATACTGATGTAGAATGGAATAAGGGAGGGAGTGCTTGCTTAAGAGATGAAATGATGAGGTTGCAAGAGAGAGAGAGGAGCAAAGCACGGCTTTGAGTAGTCTGGACAACCAAGTGTTTAAGATGGGGGGTTGGGAATGTGTTACCCTTAAAATTTTGTAAGCCACACCTCGCGGTAGAAATTAGAATGAAGGCATGTCACTTTTGTAAGAAAAGCATGAAAAGGATTCATTGACAACCTTCTTCGTCCACTCAATTTTTCCCTGTGAAAAGGGCTGTTGGAAGAACGTCATTTAGAGTAAAATGCGTCTGAATTAGACAATTGGCAGCAATGATGAATTAGGTCCTGCATAGTGAGCTCAAAATTACCTTGGAAGCACGTCAATATTTTTGGTTATAATAAACAAGTATCAAGAAAAATTAAGTTAAAGGACTAGAAAGTGAATGAGCTAAAAACAAGTGTTGGAATTTGATAAACAAAAGTGTAGTAAATAAAGTTAGACAAAAATGTAAACTATAAGACAAAAATTGTTAGTTGATAGAAATTTAGAAAATGCAACAAGCTAAAAATCAACCAAACTGCAAATTGCAGTAAAAATGCAAAGAGATTCAAGTCTAATTGAAACTGTAGCCATACTTGAATTTAAATTAAAATGCTAAATAATTGATAATTTAAGTAGAAGCAAACAACAAAATGAGATTAATGTCATGGAGACTAATTTTACCAAAATTAAACTAATAATGAAAGAAATCCCCTAGAGATTGTTGTTTTACTCCACTAGATTGCGAATTCAAAGATAAATTGTTGAGAAATAACTTTGAACTAAGAAATTGTTAGGTAGACTAAACTAGAACTAGGACATGCTTTGTGCATAATAATGAGTTTTGAAAAGTAACTTGACTTGTGTGTAAAGAGTAAGTCTGTTGAAACTAAAAAATGTGTTGAAAACTTGTATTTAAAGGCCTTCATAACTGCATCCACTTAGCAGAAATTAGATCTTGATCCTCTCTCCTATTCATGATGAAAAACAATCCCAACAACCCCGAAATTACCTTCATCTTGTGAACTACTAGTTAGCCAGAAACAAAAATCAGCAGCAAAAAACCACCCAAATCTTATCGATTGGAACTCATAAAAATCAGCCACACTCTTCTCCATTGACCCAATCAAAGCCCTCTTTTGATTTAATCCCAAATCTGCAACTCCCTTGTACCAAAGAAAGAAGAAGAGGGTTTAAGTTCCAATCAAATACTACCTCCAATCCATAAGCTTTTGATTGCAAGAGTTCAAAAGAATATTTGGGGCAGCACTTTTTCTCTGGACCACGTGATTATCCTTTTAACACAACAAAACACTGCTCTTTTAAATCTACTTTTAAAATAAATAAAATTAGACTCTTTGGGTGTAATAAACAAAAATATCAAAAATTTTAATTTAATAAAAATAATCTGTATCAACTTATGACCACATCAAAAATAAACTCTAATATATCGGATTACAGTCAAATACCTTCTTATTAATTTTAAAATATATAATCATTTGATCTCTAGATAGACATATAGCTTCATTTTAATAAATTATTAATTGTGATGTAAAAAGAATGAGAGTGGGGAATGGTCTCAGGCAAAGCCGTGGAAGCGTCTTGCAAGGGAGAAAGGGGAGCTGGGGGATGACTATCCTTGAGGGTGTGAGGTTGGAAAACGTAAAGGAGGGGTTGAGGATGAGGATCAAGTGGATGAGGCGCCTGACAAATGAAGCAAGAATGGGATGGTAGAGGGGGCACAAGGGAGGAGTTATCCTTTTTCTAGGTTATATTAAGATAGCTAAAATGTGTTAGATAATGATTTAAATTATTTCGTGAGCTTACTCAAGTTATTAATTTAGGTTTTTACCATTTTTTGTAATAAGTAATTTAGATTGAGTCTACTGAAATTTAAAAGTAATTATTTATGCGCTGGATTTTTTTTTTTGTGTGCCTTTATTGATATTTAATAAATATTTTATTTTTATATAAAAAATAATAAAAATTTTATTTATTTTAAAATAAAAAATAATTATTATTTAATAATTATTCTTTACCTTGATATTGATGAAAACCAATTTATTCATAGAAACAATAGGTAGAAAAAGTGAAAAACCAACTGGCGGGGTGCCGCTTTGAATTTTAGATTTTAAAAATAAAATAAATTTTAAAATGCAACTAATCAAATATCTTTAAGGAACCCTAGATGCCTACCCTTATAAACTGCGTCTGCTTTTTCACACTCACTCAGTCACTCTCTTAATTTTTTCCGAAGAAAACAAGAAAATGGAGCTCTGTACATTCCAAGCGGTTCTCAACCTACCCCTTGATGCCCACCACCACCACCACCACCACCGGAGACACAGATTCTTGGCCGCCACTCCTGCTCCTGAGACCAAAACCTCCCTCTCTTTCAAGCAGGCTTCGGCTAGTTGCGCCATCCGCCGCCTCCTTATCCACCGTAAGAAACTAAACTCTAGGTTTCATCTGCTTCGTTTCCAAAGATTTCTCGCTGTTAGGTTTCTTATTATTTTGATTATATGCTGTATCCCAGGCTATTTGTATGTTCAGATTGCTAGGGTTTGTTTTGCTCTCTGTTCTGTATTCTGTTTTTTAAAAAGTAACGGTTTTACCTATTTTGTTGAGTTTGATTGTTAAATTCGTGTTTGAATGTCATTTTTTGTTTCTTTATTTATGTTTCTGCTTGTGTTGGCTTGTTCATGTCTTTGTTTTAAAAAAGAGGATTTGGGACATTTCGGGTTGCATTTAGTATATGGAACAGTAACTTGTTAAGTTTGTATATGATTATTTTGGTTTTGTCATATTAAGTAATGAAAGTGGAAAACTTTATAATTTTCGTTTCAGGGGTCTTGTTGCCAAGGGCAACAACCGAGGAAACAACTGAAACAAGTAAGTTTGTTGAAGAAGAGGTTGATGGTGTGATTACTGTGGAAGATGTTGCTTCTGAGAAGGATGGATATAGTGAAACTTTTTTGAATGGAGAGCCTAAATTAGAGGCCCCTTTGGATCAGCAGATACAGATGAATGAGTTTTTGGAGAAGCTGAACATCAAGGTTTGCGTTTAATTTAATCCTTCTTAGGCATTGGGGGCCAATTTTCTGTAATCAGTTGTTTAGGAAGTGTATTATGCTATTTGTTATCCTCATGGTTACTGCTATTGTTGGTTTTTTGGTTAGATGGAAATATCTAATTTGGTTGCTTTGTTCAGCCTTTTCACTTGATGAAAGTGTTGTAGAATGCTTGGTAAAATAGTTCCACTTTTGTGTTGGCCTGAGTGGTTTACCTGAGCAACCAAATTTATTAAGCATCCTAATGCCATTTTTCTTCTTTCCAGTTAGTGTTTTGACCTCAGTGATTTGGAGTCAGTATATATTTCTAACAACTGTTCTTTTGCTGTTTTTCTACCAGAATATTCTTGCCTCTTTGACTATCTTTTTACTGTCCTTGATGAAGGAAAATTATTTTATTCCAGTAATGTAGGATTACTTTTGAAGCAACAAACGATTTATTGGTTTTTTGTTTAAAACATTATTATCTTGTTGCTTCCTCAAAAAAATAAAAAAGAATTTGTTGCTATGATGATTGCTAGACTTAATGAAAGTCTTGTTAGATTCTTAATGATCCATTGACAATCATGTCAATGATGCGGTTACCTGAGCAACATGATTACTAACAACCCATTAATCTTCTTTCTTTGATACTATCTTTTAACATTATCTTCTTGCTTGCTCAACAAAAATATGAATTTGTTACTATGATGATTGCTAGACTTAATGAAAGGCTTCTTAGATTCTTTAATGATCCATCAGCATTCATGTTGATGATGCGGTTACCTAAGCAACATGATTTATTGTTGTTGACACCATGTAATCTTCTTTATTTGATACTATCTTTGATGATTCTTGGTGAAAGAAAATTATTTTAGTCTGGATGTGTACCATGTTTGATTACTTTTGAAGCGCTAACCTATTTATTGGTTTTTTTTTTTTTTTTGTTTAAAACATTATTTTCTTTCTTCCTTGAAAAGAATATGAATATGTTGCTATGATGATTGCTTGACTTAATGAAAATCATCTTAGGTTCTTAATGATCCATTGACAATCATGTCAATGATGCGGTTACCTGAGCAACATAATTCATTGTTACATATGCCATTTAATCTTCTTTCTTTGATAGTTTCCTTAGTAATCCTTGGTGAAGGAAAATTATTTTATTCTAGTTCTGTACCGTGTAGGATTACTTTTGAAGCACTAGCCTATTTAATGGTTTTTTTGTTTAAAACACTATTTTCTTGTCTCCCTGACAAAAATATGAATATGTTGCTATGATGATTGCTTGACTTAATGAAAGTCTTCTTAGATTCTTAATCATCCATTGACTATAATGTCGATGATGCGGTTATCTGAGCAACATGATTTATTGTTATTTGCACCTGTGTAATATTCTTTTTTTGATACTTTTAGTTTTCTTTTGTAAATTTGCTAGTCTTTAACCTTTTTTTGCCTGCTATACATGATATTGATTACTTGCTTATTAATTAATTGCAGCTTGGCACTGAAGATGCTTATCCAATTCTCTTGTATGGGAGTGGTGCTCTGGTAGCTTTATGGTTAGCATCAGTGGTTGTTGGTGCAATTGAATCCATTCCATTGGTACGTGTTACAGTACACACATCTTCTGAGCTGTGGACAATATTTATGTTCTTCATCTGACAATTACTATCCATGCAGTTTCCTAAGCTAATGGAAGTTGTTGGTCTTGGATACACAGTCTGGTTCAGCTCCCGCTATCTGCTATTCAAGGTAGCTGTTTGAGCTTTTAGTCACTTGGATGTGAAACGAAATCTGATTCAGCTACCAATCTGTTCAGTTGGGATGTTTTCAGAATAATACTGACCTTTTTTTTTCAAATTTTGTGTCCTGCAGGAAAACAGGGATGAGTTGGCTGCTAAAATTGAAGAGCTTAAGCGGCAGGTTCTTGGATTAAGTGATGATTGATATGCAGGGTTGGTTTGATTTACATTGTTCTTTAGTTTAATACATCGAATATGAAATGTAGAGCTAATGTTCTCCAGATGATATTTAGGCTGCAGGTTGTTATACAAATATGTGAATAAATAGACTATAGTCATAGCAATGAAATTTTTATATCATTCTGGAAAATTTTTTTACTGAATTACATGCTTGCAGTTAGATTGCAAAATAAAAGTGCCGTCCAGGCAGTAAAATCACTAAAATGCCCTTAATGAATTGACATGGAGAGCAATATCATTAAGGGTATGATGGTTAGGTCACAACCTAATTGAATTTTTTTTTTGTACAATTTGAACTAAGATTACATTTTTTAATCTTTTAATGAAAAAAGAGAAAAT